GAGAGATGTACTTTAGTTGTCCCCTTGCGTGGCAGAGGGATGAAGAGACATCCCTGCGTTGCCTTGCCACTAGCCTGTGAAGCTAAAGGAATTTATTCCTGGCTTTGTCGCAGGTTTAGCTGGCTAGGAAGGGGCTGCTCACTTTCCTCTTCCTGTACAGTGGTCACTAGTGCTTAAAACCAAGGGAAATAATAACTAACACAGTAATGCAAAACATGTTTTAGGTGACTCTGAGATGCCCTTTTCGAGCATGTTAAGTCAGATTCCCAGCTTAACCGAACAGAATGGCTCAAGCACACAGTGTGCTGCCACTCTAATCCTATTTACACCCAGAGGCTTTAGCTGCCAGAGGATTTGCTTCTCCCCTGAGTGCACCACACTGCTTGCCCTAGTCTTTCTGGTCGTATTCATTGGATGAGTTGTAGAAAGAGGCCAAAACTACAGTAAGTTCTCTGTCAAAACCGTAGCCGCAAAGCAGGCCTGCGGGGTTATCAGTGGCAAGTACCATGGGTGGTGTGTTGAGAGCTAAACTGTGCCCCGGGGCCGTGCTAGCTTACAGCGGTCAGGCTGGCTCTCGGTGGCCCTCCTGCTTGGAGCTGGAGTGGCTCCGAGGTAGCTCCTCCCTTTGAAAGTGACTTTCCAAAGGCCTCTGCCTCCTCCTGCGTACATTTGCCTCCTTCACCTCAGTCTTTGGCCGGGGCTTTCCCTAAGTCGTTTGTACTTGACTCATTTATTGTTTTCTTTGTATTCCGTTACAGTCCTTGAATAACTTCTGTAGTCAGATTGGAGATGATCGCCCACTGTCCTACTGCCACTTCAGCCCCAATTCCAAACTCCTCGCTACGGCCTGTTGGTAAGTTTTCTTTTACAGCACTTGCTTTAGGGGCCAGGGGGGCACAGCAGGAGTGACGGAGGGGGATGTTGTTGGAGGCCTATGAATCATGGGAGTTCAGAAATGCTTTTTCTTTGTACTCTGAACTCTCTCTTCACCCCGTTTTAGAGCTTTGCGGGGATTTCAGTCTGATTCCGTTAGTCCCTATGGCTGGTTGCCCAAAGTGTATTAGTATTTTATCCATTGCAGAACCCCCCAGGGTGGTTTTGAAGCTCTGTGTTTGATCTCTTCTTCGACGTTCCTGTCTACTCTGATCTCTGTTTCTTGTCTTCAACAGGAGCGGATTGTGCAAGCTCTGGTCCGTGCCTGACTGCAACCTTGTTCACACCTTACGAGGTAAGAGGAACTTTCACTGAGACTCTTTGCTTAGTTCTTCTGTTCCTCTCCGGGTTGAGTTCCCATATCTGAATTACTTTGTGATTAAAAATGTAGTGTTCTTTGGGCAGATTTTACTCTGAGAGCAGTGCTCAGGCTTGCGGAGCATGGGCATGTGTCTCATAATCAAGAGGAAGTCCTGGCCTTTCTCTTAGAGCCAAGAGCTGAGTTTGTTGTTTCTGTTTCTGAATGATGTTCTTGTTTTCTTTCAAAACCTGGTTTGAGATATTTTGAGCCCAGTATTAGCGTTTTTGGCCAGGCCACTTAAGAGCAGTGAGGTTCTTTGGACAGTGGTCACAACTTTGACTAAATACAAATGTGAGGACAAATCTCGTGATCATATGTTGAATTTTCATTGCATTTTGAGGGTTACAAACCTTGGTGTTTGATACTCTTCAGTGGCTGCTACTGGAGTTGCAGTTTAGCTGTTTGCAGGACAGCTGTGTCTGGTAGTTACGGTGCAACTTCACCCGACATGGCAGGACACAGTGGAAGTGTTCACTGGTACCTGACTAATTAGTAACAAAGAAACGCTGTTTTTCTGAAGAACTGGCCAAGATCATGTGGCAGATTATGAATTGTGATTTTCCTTTCTCCTAAGGACATAACACCAACGTAGGAGCAATAGTCTTCCATCCCAAAGCCACGGTCTCCCTAGACAAGAAAGACGTTAACCTGGCCTCGTGTGCGGCTGATGGGTCTGTCAAACTCTGGAGCCTTGAAAGGTCAGAATGATACCAGACATGCACAGCTGCAGCATTGTTGTTTTGGGGTGTATGTTGTGTTATTAAACATCGGACATTTACCATCCTCCTGCAAATATAACCTTTTCTTGTAGTTATACCAGTGCAATTCCTGGCCTCAGTATGTGCCA